TTAATAAGTTTTATGCAAGGGAATAAAGTAAAATAAATTACATCAACAGATTGCAAGGCTATGAAGTAAATTGCTGGAAAAGTATCAAGCAGCAAGTTAAAAAGATGGTAGATGAAATAAATCTGATAAAACTTAGAATTAAATCTATATACTTTTAAAAAATACGACTGCCAAATTTAACAGTGGATTTTGTTGTAAGTTTGTGCTATAACAAATGTGCTTCTTTCTCCTCAATCTATTTTCATATTATTGGCAAAATATATATCTTTTATCATTTTGTACTATACAATAGATGTTTTGCTACATTATTTATTTTTCTACTGCTAATGCAGATAAGAAGTAACAACACAGATTTATTTTGGCAATAAAATGCTTTCATTTTAATAACGTCCCAGAAAATATCGTAAGGCATATGAAAAATAGTATACAACAATATAGCATTAATGATCCTGCTTCTTTGATACATCCCTTATGCATACAGAATTCACACCGACTTCAGGTAAAAGTGTGTGAAAATGGCATGCAAGTAGGGCAATACATAAATAAAGACACAGCCATTTGTTGAGAAATTTGAGTGTTCAAAACACAACCAAGAACACTTACAGAGTGTTGAAAAGCTAGAGGCCAGCCACTTTGGGTTCTTACATAGTTCTCCTTTTAACTCCTTATAATTTTCAAAGAGGATGCATCAGTATACTCCCCAGACCACTCTAAATTCATTAGTAACATTTTCTACCATCTTTCTGCAAACATTTTACATACTTCAAAAGGAACAAAGGAAAGTTTCATATGTATCTATGACTCTCCAACACTCTTGCTATTCACTCTTATTTGTAAGTTTCTTAGGGTAAGTGGGAGTTACAGCCCTTGTTCAAGCTTATCTGATGAGATATTTTCTAGTCTTCTCATACTGTCCCTCAATTACAGGAAGCATTTGGGATTAAACCATCCACAAGTAGATAAAAAGAGTTGCTATAAGAGGATGTATTTAATTTGAGAAAGTTCATTTTAATTAAAGAAGAAAACTTTAAGAAGTAATTTTTGCTGTAGCTCTCTGCCCATATAAACCAGTTCTACTATTTGACTAACTCGACTGTTTAAGTTAACAACAAAAAAGTTATCCTTGTTGTCTGAGGACAAGTATTGTATTGACTGGTTTGATCATAATTATGTAAAAGAGGTGGCCTGTTCTCTGCCCTTTGGACACTTAGTAACAGAGTATTAACAATATTTAAAGATATGAGGAACTAAGAAAACAAATTTTATTACATAATTTGCTATAATGTTTTCATTCATTCAAAGATGAATTTTATATAATTAAAAGGAAAACAACATGCAACATTGTCATGAAACACAAAGGCAGAAATATAAAAGAAATAAGGGGTACATTCCCATTTATTTAGAACATTTATATGAAGTTTGCTTCAGTGACATGGGAGTCCAAGATAATACATATGCTTATGTAGGAAATGGCTAACTGTCCACAGGAGACATTAAGGATCAATAAAATTTGAATTTTCAAACCAGCTGCACTGAAATATCAAGTTTCTGGATCTACTCTTTAGGCTTAGAGCTAGGTAATATAACAAATTGCATACAAAGGCAACTCCCTTGCAATTTGTTTCGTTCCCTATGATGACTGTTTTCTTAAATTAACCTTGTGTCCTGATAAACTGTGAACCAATTCAAAGAAAACTTCACTAACATGGAAGAAATGAAGGGTGACAAGAGTATTTTGGAAACAGTCTAAAATTTAAAGGGAAAGTATATTTTAAGAATTTATGCATTTAGTTTTGCAGCTAGGTTAGCAGTAAGAGTAATAAATTTGATCACTACTTATTGAAAAGTGTTTTTCTCTTTAAAGACAGATTGTCTTCTCTAGAGAAGAGGTAGTATAAATATTAATATATAGGGCAATTCCTACAATGGCATTACATCATTTTTATTTTTTAGCAAATACCAAAATAAAATTGTATAACTAAAAAAATACATTGGCATGCAAACTAAGGTTACCTAGAAACATTCTTGACTGACATCCTGGGTCTCAACAACATTTTATGATATGTTCATTCAGGGTTTAAATTTGCAAACTATCTTTTGGCATAATTTCCTTCTCTCCCTCCCTTTCAGTGCCCTAGCTTCCTATTATGAATTTTAAGGCCCCCACACAAAAGACAAGTTCAAGTATGCAGGTATGAAAAGAGGTTAACATTCCAAAAATACATTTTGCAAACAACAACAATAATAATTAAAGTAATTAACAAATTATTCAAAGGGAACAAATACTTTTCTTATAATTTGTCTTATGTTTAAAAAATTCATTTCATTAAGGACTAAGTGCAATGACATATTGTCACATAATTAAGACTCTCTTATTAGGAAAGACTATCAGTCCAAATTGTTAATTTCAATTTGCTTTCCGATAGAACTGTATAAATATAAGAGAGAACCATCAGTCATTTATAAACATTTCCAAGTGTTGCTTTAAATATTGGAGTAAACAAGATAACATTGTTGATTATAATACTGGAGTCACGTTATAGCCTTGAGAATTAACATCAGGACTGACAAATTGTATTCTCTTTTTTCTCAGAACTACATTTCACATTGTCAATGTGAGTCTACAGTGTTACATGGTCGCAGACTGAAATTACAGAATATGTAATTTACATATTCTCATATTACATATACTGAAGTTACAGAATGTGTGATTTATACAAGGTAAAACAGCCTCAAAACATTGTAAGACTTGTTTCTCCCACTTATCATTTGCTATTTTGAAATAAAATCAGTTAAAAACAAAGTATTTTGTGGAATACGTATTTTTTTCAAAGTTGCTTGATATGCTTGGCAAAAATAAAACTTTCATTTAGTATATACCTGTATTTTTAGTATCATTTACACAGTAAACTCTAACACTTAAAAAAAAGGAAAATGTATATCTCTTATTTACTTGGAGAAGATAAACTTATTACAAAAGGAATGGAAAAGAATATGCCAAATCAAAGTAAAATTTTAAATATATCCATCAAGAAAATATACATTATACCCTTTCCAAGACTGTTAGCTTTTGAATAAGAATGCAAAGCAAAACAGGTACAGACACTTGATGGTAAATGACAATTGGTTTTGTGCACAGATATTGAATGGACCTCTCTCTTCATCAGCATGACACGGAAGACTTAGAAACAAGGCTTTGAGAGGCTTTAAAAACAAGTGATTTTTAAAAATTGAAAGAATATGGTAATCTCGCTGACTAGGAAATATATGTAAATGCTGTTGCAGCTACCTGCCATAAAGTGTAAATATCTTAAAGTAGTTAAGTGACCAGATTGCTAATGCTACTACAGAAAAAGCTGAACAGCTGTCTAGTCTAAATTTATCACCTTGGTGCACTCTTTGCAATTAAATACTTTAATGCGCACAAACAAGAAACCAGTAAAGCATATAGAAAAATGTTTTGGCTAGTGTTCTCTTTCTCATGCAAATATGTGCTGTACATGTAATAAATATATTTTCGTTTGCTGGAAAATGCTCTTCTGTGCTCTAACAAAGTATTCAGTAATGGCAGGTTAAATGCTTAGTAAAGTGTCTAATGGATACAGCTCTTTTAAATGTCTTAACTGAAAGTTCTGTAAGCTTCACTAGATGACAAAAGAAACTCGCAAGCCAATATCACATGTTAACTTTTAGAATTTACTGAGCCCCTATATTCAATTGTATCAAATATGTGAGATAACTTACATAATTATAGGCATCCTCGTCATAGCTAAACAGGTTCAAAATGGAGTATGCACAGGGAACAGGAGGGGAGGGAACGTGGGAGGTCATGATGGGGTTCAAAATATGTATAACTGATCAAGAATATGGAATTTATTTTCATGGTCAGGAAAATTATTTAACGGGTGTATGTTTTGAAAGCCTAAATAGTGAAAGGCGTGGTAGGAAAAAAAGGTAACAGAAATCAATTATTATTATTTTCCAAATATAGGCTTCATGACATGTACCGATAGAAAGGGATTTTTATGCCTTGTCCTACTGGGGCTTTAGAAAAATGCACGCATTGTGGACTTTTAGAAACAAGAGTCTTTCCTGAAAGATATTTGTGTATTGTATAAAAGGGTCAATTTCAATAATTCCTTGGATCATAGTGAATCTAAGGCTTCCTTGATAATATAAGATAGAAGGTCACCAATTCTGTAATTTTAGCCACTGGAAAAACTGTCAAGACTCAACAGGTGAAGAGGAGTGTTCATTAGAAATAAGGCAGCTCAATCTCCAAATTCTTTATAATACTTGACAATAAAAATGCTGTAATTTTAGTGAACAAATATACTCTGAATCTATTGAGTTTATTTTTTATTGCAAGCTTTTAAATTCATCATTTGTTTTCACATTTTTCGTCTCATCATTTTGCATAAACGCAGCTTTCAATATCAAAATTGAGTGTTTCCATGTAAAACAAAAGTTCTTAGCATGACTATAAAGAATTTGGGGAAGGGCTAGAACATTCACATATTCAAAGACAGAGACTGAATGAAGCAATGGAAAGATAAGCAATTGTGCTGGCAGGAAATACCGGCCCATGTTTGTGGGAAGTTGGAAAGATGAATTCCCATCTGGAGATGTTTAGCTTCGCACTCGGGAGGATCTGCGCCCATCCTTACTGTCTGACTCCAGATTCCTGGATGTATATAGTTGTGCTCAGAGCGAGGAAAGGGGAAACAACACCCGGTTTTCTGTTTCCCATTACCAGCTATGATTGGGTTTCTCTATATTATTCTCTCTCACTGCTAAAGAAATTTTGAGTTTTTTTTCTGCCAACTTCAAACAAGCTAACAGTGGTGACTAAACAAAAGGCAAAACACTTTGAATACAATAGCTGTGCCAGGAAAGAAACAAAAATATTAAAATCTGAGGAGAGTGTAAAATTTCTGCATTAATTTGAGGTGGGCTTTTTTTTTTTGGCACTATCAATACTTCTGGTAAGTTTGAAAAGCCATTTTGTCAACATTAACATATGTTAAAATGTTTATACATTCCAACTTTATGTGTAAATTTAGCTTCCAGCAAATAAATACCATACTTGGTGTTGGCTTCTTTTGGTATTTTGATTTTCTTATTAATTAGGTTTTTGGGTTTTTTGTGGCTTTTTTTTTTTTTTCAAATTTTTAAATTGACTGCAACATGCTCAAGTAGACTTTCTAGTCGATTTGCCCAAATTCCAACAGGAATTGGTTTATAAATTGGTTCCAACTGGAACTGGTCATTTGGAATTTCCAGCATGGGAAATTATTTTATATGTGCCTTGGTAAGTACCCTAAAATTACAAATCGATGTGTCTAAATCTAATGAAGAAAACATAAGGTACTGTTATGTAAATGCTGAGCTTAAAAATATCTATATGACTGGGCATCTAATAACCATCTAGACTTAAGGGCATCATGTACTTTTTTTTTTGCCCCTTACTTAGCATCAAATGACAACAGCCCATAAGCACAGTAAATACTGTGCTGTACTTGCCAAGTTAAGATGATTGGTTTATCCTAGCAGTGCTATGGCAAATTGTCAACAGATGAATTTTTTGTTTGCTTCTGCAGACTCAAAGCCTATGTCGGGAGTCATGGCTATATCCCCCAGGTGATCCTCGGTTCCTATGGGGTTTGTAAGTGTCCTGGTATGAGTCAGGATAATCTTCTTCCACAAGAGGGTAATGATCTCGGCTATGCTGGGAACTGGAAGACAAGCGGTTCCTACTCTTCCGAGCCCTTTCATTGTGATAATTTTCATCAGCAGTCATTAGACTTCGTCTTTCAATTGGAGAGTTCTCCGTGGAGTGGTTGCTGTGCCTCATACGCTGACTCTAAAAATAGCAGATAGTTCATTGATTACATAATGTCCGTTTCATTCATCTAGAATATGTAAATGTATGTACAGCAGTAGGGTCTGCACAACAAAATGCTAACTGATTTAATAAAACATTTTGATGCACAAATGATCTACTCAAAAGATCTGGTCTGTTTTATTTGGGGCACAACATGCAAAGATACTAAAATGCAAATAGTTTATGAATTTAATTACATAATGCTATCTGATTATGCTTCCTATTAAAAACAGACAATTGACAGTTAACTGCTGAATGGAACTTAATGCATCTAGGAAGACCTAATAACTCCACTTCTACTGCAAAAATGAGGATCACTTTACTATTGGGAAATAAGTTAAAGTTCAGAATAGCATTTGCTATTTTATTTCTCTTGAACTGATAAAATCCTTCTCCTCCTGAAGTCACACACTTCACCTTTATCTAGCTGAATGTTCCTCATACCTTTAAAAAAAAATTCATGAAATTAGGATTTGTGCTGTCCATAAACTAATGTGTTTGTTTCTTCATCATACATAAATGTTAAGGCTCTCAGCAATATTTTTTCCAAAGGAGTATACAATAATTCTAAAGCTGGCTAACCGATATTTACAATTCTTGCTCCCTCAACTGAAATGTCCCACAAAAATTACCTTCAGATATAAACTAAATTCTTTTAATATCATTAACTGAAATTGATCCTGTCAAACACTTATTTGATGGCTCAGAAACTGTTACTCAACATTTTTCTTTAAATCACGGGAAAGCATGTATCATAGCTGTGTCTCTCTACTTAGGTCACCTCAGTTAAGGATTAGGATCCCAGGTACCTGGGTGGCTCAGGTGGTTAAGCAACTGACTTTGGCTCAGGTCATGATCTTGGAGTCCTGGGATCGAGTCCCACATCGGGCTCCCAGCTCCACGGGGAGTCTGCTTCTCCCCTCTCACGCTCTCTCTCAAATAAATAAATAAAAATTTTTTTTAAAAAATAAAAAAGAAACAGGATCCTGATGAGACCAAGGACCAGATCCAGTTCCTCTAAGTGACACCTTCACACAGCGGGAAAATCATTCAGCAGGCATAGCCTGTGCCTTTAACCCCAGCCAGAGTCTAGCAATTAAATACCCATGGTCACTAAGAGAGATAGGGTCCAGGACAAAGAGTATCATGTTAATTCAAGTGAAGCTGGGAGAACCACTGCAGGTGGATGTCTTAGAGGTGATGAATCCGGAGTGTTCTGTCCATAAACAAAGCACATTTTGCTTAACCTACACTACAGAAGCATATTGCTTTGTGCATCCATTTCTCATCCCACCGAGTATAAACTAGTCAGTGGAGATGTCTACACTTGGATTAGCACAGAGGCAGTGAAACCATGCAGGAGACAGTCCCACGTATTACACATATTACACGAGCACATTTCCCCTGTTCATTTCCAGCCTCAAAACCTATTCATTTGTAGAGCAGGTTTTTGCTTACAAAGATGAAATTTTGCAGCAAAGTAATATGGTTTAGAATAGCATTTTAGAAAGTGCCCTTTCTCTCAGAGTTAAGTCTATGTGATCTCCAGTTATGATTATCATTATAGCCCATGAATATAAAACTAGTCACGATACAAGACGGCTCAACAGACTATAAGTTCCTTAGCCAGCTATGGGTTAGGCTACATTCCCGCAGGTGCTTGATAAATGATAAATAACAAATGATGTAGGAAGGCAAAAGTCCCTTTGTGTCATACTGTCTCTAGCTCCTCACGCCCAGCCCTGAGTGCAGCACTAGAAGAGCAGAAGAAAAAACCTCCTTCTCCTGCACTTATCCCCAACTTTCCTAAAGGACACCTGCCATCGCCACTGGCCAAGATGGACGCCCACATACCCCCAAGAAAACTCAGGGATCTGTCACCGTTTCTGAACAGAGTGGCTCTGCTCGTGTCCACGTTCTGTACTGAGCAAGCTAGGGGACAGGCCTGGCAGTCTGGGAGGGCAGGACTAATTAAGGGCAGTCAAAAGGCCCATCTGTTCCAAAACACTTGACTTAGCTTGCCATGGTGCCTTACCCTGCCACCAATGTATAATCTTTAAGAAGTGACCTGGAGAAGTAATGGACAGTTGCACTGTGTAGGAGTGAGTGTCCTGGCAGAGTTTAGACACAGGAGGGATTAATTTGTCTGAGTAAAAGTTAATGTACATTAACAGAGAGCAAAGTTCTATGGAAAGGGTCACTGTGGGTAACTCGGCCTAGGGTAGACCATGGTGAGGTAATATTTTAGATTTTTTTTTATATATATATATAATGCCCACCCATGTTTCCCTCTTTACATTAACGATTATCCAGTCTTCATCCCAATCAGGTTCCCTGTAGAATCTTCAACCTAAGGCTATAAAAAAGCATGGGTGGAAAGTGACAATACCTGTAACCCGGAAATTGCTGTGGGATATGGTGAGAGCGCAGTTGAGCCCAAATTCCTTCCAAGCAGAGGGGTCATGGGGGTGCTACTGGTAGTGTGGGTAGCACGCCAGTAAGCTTCAAGGTACTCTCCCAGATGTTCGCACGCGTCCTCCAACTGATTTTCATCCAGTATAACATCAAACATCTCCTGCAGATGATAAGAAAAAAAATCCATTCTACTTATGCTTCAGGTTTTAGGCAATGAAACCTAAAATTCCACTAAATGTAGATAATAGCATTTTTTTTTTTTTTAAGATTTTATTTATTTATTTGACAGAGAGCAATACAGCGAGAGAGGGAACACAAGCAGGGAGAGTGGGAGAGGAAGAACCAGGCTTCCCACAGAGCAGTGAGCCAGACGTGGGGCTCGATCCCAGGACTCTGGGATCATGACCTGAGCTGCAGGCAGATGACCAATGACTGAGCCACCTAGGCACCCCCAGATAATAGCATTTCTAACATCTAAGAGCAAATATCACTTTTGAGAGGCTGGACTGGCAGTTTCTAAAATTAAAGTCAAGTGAGGTGCTCCACAGTTAACCAAGTGCAAATTTGGACATTGACACGAAAACAGAAGTGCTCATTAAATGTTCAGATCTTTCACTGTTTAGAAGTAAAAGATGAGGTGACTGTATCAGCGTCATATGTAGAATATAGCAAAAACACATTCATATCTATCCATAGATTCCTAAGGAGTTCAATGACACTTACTTGAGAATACAAGAGAAGCAAGTTAATGGCATTGAAAGAGGAGTTCTAAAACATTCTGGGCAATGACCATATCATTGGAATAAATATTTCATCTTCCAAAGTAACTACACTGAAGGGAAAAACATTGACTAAGATAATTTTCAGAATGCCTGTGAAAATGTTTTCTGTCTCATGATAAAAACAATATGGAAAGAAGGTTTAGGATTAATGCCAGAAAACCACATTAGGGTGATTTCTGCTACCAAAAGATCGCTGTGTGAAACAATTAAAAAAGAACAAGGCCCACAAGTATTTAATCGTGGGGAGGAAGGAGTGTCTGGTATCTGTGTTTCTGTCAGTAAGGGCTTTGTCCAACATCTAGCCTCTAATCAGGAAGTGTTTTCCCCCACAAGGCAGCAAAATGGCACTTCAGCATCATAGCAGTGTGGCTGGGAACACACACAGGATGGACAGTCAGAAAACCGTGGCCCCTCGAAAGGAGAAAAGCCATCCCATAGCTTAGGGAAAACACACTTCCAGCTTCCAACAGCTGGATTCACACCTTCCCTCTCGAACCACCTCTGCCACTATCTACGTACTTTTACAAGCTCATTTTGCCAAAATAAGAACCTTCCACTAATGAATCAAATACAGGGTTACTGCCATCAGCACAGATACTGTGGCTGGATTGTAGGTTCCTGGCAACTGGACAACTATGAGTTGGTGATAGGTTAGCTGACTCACTCTGGTTGGTGTGAGGCTTCCCTCAAGCAGAAGTCACCATGGCAATGATCTCTTTCCCAACATTTACTATTTGAATGTTTTCATCACATTGATCCCTACTGAACATTTTGACCTTAATTTGCAGAGCAGTTTGAAAGTCAGGGAGAAATATTTAACAGTGGCAAATGTTTAGTAATTAGGCAAAGAATAGGTGACTTCAGTCCAAACCGACTAGCGTTTGAGAGGACTCAGCCAATTCAGCTCATGTAGAAACCCTTCCCCAGGTGCCTGGGTGGCTCTGTCAGCTGAGCAAATAAATGACTCCTGATTTCAGCTCAGGTCATGATCACTGGGTCATGAGAATGAACCCTATGTCGGGCTCTGCACCGGGCATGGAATCTGCTTAAGATTCTCTCTCTCGGGGGCGCCTGGGTGGCTCAGTGGGTTAAAGCCTCTGCCTTCGGCTCAGGTCGTGATCCCAGGGTCCTGGGATCGAGCCCCGCATCGGGCTCTCTGCTCGGTGGGGAGCCTGCTTCCTCCTCTCTCTCTGCCTGTCTCTCTACTTACTTGTGATCTCTATCTGTCAAATGAATAAAAAAAAAAAAAAAAATCTTTAAAAAAAAAAAAAGATTCTAATCTTTAAAAAAAAAAAAA